CGGCAACCACAGGCGAGCCCCACAGCCCCCGGCCGTGGCCCCAGAGGGACCGAGTAGGGTGCGGAGAGAGGGTCCGGGGAATAAATCCCGGGAATAAATCCCGGGAATAAACCGCCGTTCCTTGGCCGGGACACGCCGCGGAACGTGCGGGCGCGCAGGAGGGTGTCCCTGGGCTGAAGGCGTGAGGGGTGTCCTGCACCCCTGAGCGAGCCACCAGCCCGGCATTTAAACTCCTCAGATGGTCCTAGAGCAGCTCAATGGTCTAAACTCCTCAAATGCTCCAATACCAGCTCAAAATGAACTATCCCTTTATTTTAAACCATCTGCTCAGGAGCTGAATGACAACTTTTATTCTTCTGGGGCCACAGCATGCTCTGGAGCCACAGGGTCTGTCCAGAGTGATAAAATTCTTTGCATTCTTTCACCAGTGGAGCTCCATCATCCTCTGTTCCCTGTGTCCAGAGTGTTGCTTGGAAAACACTGTCAGTTCTGCACAGAAGCACCGTTTTTCCAAGTAAGAATAAACCCCTGCCCAAGCCCAAAGCTCGGTGCTGAGCTCAGGGGCCTCCAGTGGGTCACACACACACAGGGAAAGCCACTTCCACCCTTCCCTTTACACTGCAGGGGATGCTTGGCTTAGTGAAGAATAGGGAGAAAATGTTTTCCAAGAACTAAATAAAGCACTGGATTGTGTTTGGACACTACTGGGTTTTTTTGCTCATTCAAAAGAACCAGAAAAAGGTTAAAATATACAGAAATTACAGACGAGGAACATGTTTAAATTTAGCCAAGGATTGTTAGTATTTCTGGACAGCTCAGACCACACTTGAAGGGTTCTGTCCACACATTTTTCTACTTTCACTACAGCCAGACATCTTCCCTCAAACACTCTTTCCCTGTCATGTTTCATTAATGTGAAAACTTCAGTTAATACAAGAGGGTGACTCCAGTAAAATGCTGCAGGTGCCCAACACTTGCTAACTGACTGCATCCAGATAAAATTCAAAATATTCCCTGAAACCTGAGCCTCAGAATCGTTTAAATGAGGCCTCATTCTCCACAGCAGCTAAAGAAACTGAAGCTGAGGAAGCCCCACTAATAGTTTAGTTTGATTTAAAAGATACTCAGCACTGCTCAGAGGCCAACTTACTATAAATAGAAATAAATATATAAAAATAATAAAAATAAAAATAACACAAGAATCCAGACACTATTACAAGACTAGTTACAATTTCTCAAAACACACCAATACAGAATTGTTTCCTCAGTAAGAGAATGAACACAGCACCAAGTATATATATTTTACTCTTAAATAGAACAGCTTTATTCAACCAAATCCAAGATTATTTCAAAACTATCCCTTAAACTTGGCTTAGAGAATTATTTTTGCCATTCTTCCCCTTCAAAATCCCTTATGTATTGCTTAGAAAACAAAATTATATTATTTTTAAAAGTTTTGGGGTGTTTCTTTTGGAAAAACAGCAGGAAGGTGAGAATCTCTCTTTTTTTTATTTTAATATTCCTTTTCTCCAACAAAACTAATGGAATAGTGAGAGGTTACAAGAACTCTTTGCTCAGCTTTATATAAAACTGAGACCCAAGGAGTGTGACTTGCACATAACCTGGACAGGGGTGACATGAGCTGACACAGCCCAGGATGGGTCTGGTAACGCAGAGGTTTAAGACTGGGAACTGCAGTCACACTCCAGCTCTCCCCTGCACCTCACTCTGAGCTTAGAAAAACAGAAGTCCTCTCTATTTCAGTGAAGTTTGAGATAATTTGACTGTGAATGTTGTGGCTCAAAGCCCCGGCAGTGAGTGACCAGCACACGATGGGCTGGGGGGGACAAGCCACGAGCCCAGGGCTGCAGTTTGAAAGCATTGGAATCTTTTAAGAAAAGTTTGTTCCCAGCCAAAAGTCTCTTCCGAGGTAACAGACGTGTTTGTGTGTGACTTTCAAGATCCAAATAACCTGGGGGATGCAACAGAAAAAAAGTACATAAGAAGTGGGTTACAACAGTGCACAGTCACACCAGTGCAAGGCTGATTCTGTTTGACTAATTGATGGGTTTCCACCCCCCAAAAAATGAAAAATATGCCAAAATTTAGACCCAAATGCTGACCCAAAGGATGTTTTATCTGACAACCCCCAATAAGCAACATAACGTGTGGCTGAATGACTCATATGCTGGCACAGAAGGTTTTGATGCACTGCAGGTGCCCACACAGCAAAAAACCTGAGGCCAACCCATACTTGAAAATTGAAATAAGCCAGTGAAATCAATAAGAATTATGGAAAAATCGAGTGGGGGAGAAAGAGATGTGAAAAGAAATGTACGTGCAAGAAAAATCCCAATATATGACCTCCTATAACCAAATGACACGTTACTTACACAATCATGCAGAACATCATGAAGATATTCCACAAGGCAATGAAGATTCGAAAATACCTGAGACTCAGCAAGAACTCTCTGATATTGTCACCTAGAAATCAAGAGAAGAAACCTTTGATGTGAAAAACACCTGACAATACACTGAAAAGTCACATTTTCAGTGCTGCCTGAAAAGCACAAGCAACTCTGACAAAAAAAAAACCAACAATCAAAAACACACCAAAAAGTTCAGATCACAAAACGCTGAAACTTGAAGGTTTAGGTGAATGATGGATGCTTTGTTCAGTGGCAAAATAACCACTAAATGATAAAAAGGGTTCTCAATAAATGTAAAAAGGGAAGACCAGCCTCGTTGTAGGTCACAGCCTTCCTGTGATTTTTAAAGCAGCAAACAGAGGGAGCAGCACAAGTGTATCTACATGGAAATGGCAACCAGGTGGTGAGCAGAGTGTTACTTCTGTAGTACAGGCACCTACAGTCAAAAATGCTGCAAGAAATGTGCTTTTTATTTGGGTATTTCTTCTCAAATCCCCTGTTTGGGGATCACGGAAGGGGGGGTTGTCACACCTGTATGTAAAACGGCACAGAGGAACATTTTCAGGCTGAAAATCACTAAAATGGTTATTCCAGCCAGAGAGC